TGTGTGTGTGTGTGTGTGTGGCCAGCTCAGCCCACCAGGGGGCGGGGCTGGCTGGCATGTGGTGCTGGGGGATTGAACCGCCGTCCCTGTACTTTGCTAAGCTTGTTCTAAGTAGGTGCTTTAGACCACTGACCCATCTCACCAGCCTGGTATTGATATTTCTACTAGTAATTTAGTTTCTGATTTAAAAACAACACACCAAACTTCGGTGTCATATCCAAAATGAAGCATATCTAGCACACTGTTCTCATGTAGTTCAACCTGTATTACTATCTCTCTGTCTTGGCGACTTAACACCCAGGGCCTCTGTATTGAACTCCATCCCCAAAACCTTCTCTTTTGTTTTGAGATGCCTCACTAAGATGCTAAGCTGTGATGCCTGGACTTAAACTTGAGATACTTGTACCTTAGTCTCCCAAAATGCTAGGGATATACGCCAGCTAGAAGAATTTAGATAATGCTTTCTAAAACTGCCATCTTCTATAGGTTACCACACTGCACTGAAACCATACTTTCTGCTACAGAAGCCACTACCAAGTACTACTGTTAGGCACTTTCTAGCCAGCATAAGAATAACTCAGAAACTGTATTTTAAAATTTTATTTCATTTAATTTGTTGTAGCACTTGAGTTCAAAGTTACAATGTTTGTTTAGGGGTACTGAGGATTGAACTCAGGATCTTTCTGGGCAATTTCACTAAGCTACCTCCCAGGCCCCCTATTATGTTTAAACTATTATTTTGAAACAGACCTACAACAACATGATGCCAAAGAACACCAAGCTTACAGGCCTCATGCTATTCAATCTCAAGACTTACTTACCAGCACAGTACTCAAGACACTATGGTAGTTTATTTGTTTTTTTCTTTTTTCTTTTTTTTTCCCTGCAGAACCGGGGATTGAACTCAGGCCCTGGCAAGCGCTTATTCCACTGAGCTATCTCCCGGGCCCCTAGACACTGTGGTAGTAACCAAAGAAGAGGCATCAGTGAATGAAACAGTAGAAAGGTCAGAAATGCATCACAGATACAAATGGCTGGGCTTTTCCCCCCTGCTGTTTGTTTGCAGCACTGGGAATTAAATCAGGGAGCACTGAACTATATATCCATCTGCAAAATAGGTTCATATAGTCTTCTATTATTATTTGGATTGTTTTTGTGCTGGTGATTAAATCCAGGCAAGCACTTTATCTCTGATTTACACTGCCAGCCCAAACACATTATACATGCTATTTTCATTTTCTTAAGTAAAATTTTTCTAACCTTGCTAGGGTTAATTCCACTGAGGTGTGATAAAGCTTAACCCCAAATAACTAATAAAAAGTAAAATCAACTGAAACCCCAGCTACTTGAGATATCTACCCTGAGCATCTTAGAAGACCTTGTCTCTATGTGCAAGATCAGAAAAAACATCTCTGGTGTAACTGTTGTCTTTGCCAAAAATCAGTACATTTGCCAGGTGTGGTGACATACACCTGTAATCCACCTACACAGGCAGACAAGCTAGCTTTCAAGTTTCTTAAATCTAAAAGGATCTGGTTGGATGGTGTGGTGCACAGCTATAATCCTGGCCCTCAGGAGCTGAGGCAGGAGGACTGTCAATTCAAGTCTATCTTAGGTACACTGTGGGTTCGAGGCCAACTTAGACCATATAAGCAAGACCTTGTCACAAAACAGCAATGCATACTTGGAATTCCAGCACTCCGGAAGAAATGACTGGATGGTTGTTTGGAATTTTGAGGACAGCATGAGCTACACAGTGAATCCAAAGCCAACCTGGACTGCTCAGTGAGGAAAATAAAAATCCATCAATAAACACCCCAGAAAAAAGTTTAAAAAATACTTACTTTAACACTAACAGTTCTGCCTTTTCCTGAGGTGCTAGGGACCAAAGCCAGGGCCCCACTCCTGTCAGCAGGTGCTCGCTCTACTGTTAAACTGTGCCCAGCACTCGCCCCAGAGACTCACTGAGGCAGGAGTCAGCAGCGGGCATAGCACTGCTCTGATGGGACAGCAGCTGTGAGCCCCAACTAACTGCCAGACTCGGGGCAACATGACAGAGTCTGCAGCCAACCCGAGTCACAAAGTGCCAGGCCATGGCATCTGTGACGGCCTTGATATGATTCGAAAACACACAGCCAAACCAAACTGACTCACTACCAAGATGGCCTCAGCTGACAGACATTAATAGGACACAATACTTTGTACTCTTCAAAAACAGCAGCGCTATGAACAACAGGGAAAGACAGGGTGAGCCAAGGCATCATGAAAACTAAGGGTGTTAATTTAGGCAAATAAATAGGTTGGTAAATAAATAAAATAAAATGAACTACACATAAGGGCAAAATGATTCCACATAGTTCTTTAAAATATATACATTCACGTTAGTAAGTTAATTGTACAATACAGAATAAGCACCACTCTACAGATGAGATTATATTTATTTCTTGATTTTAATATCAATTTTTAATACATATTACTTTTACAACAGCTATATCCATATGACAGAGTGGAAGGAGAACAAGAGATGGCCAGAAGTTAAGAAAAAGGTTTGTTTGCTAAACTCTGAAGCCTACCACAACCAGCTCACACCTTCCTTTCCCCGTCTTCAATTTGAAATGCTTTCAGTAAAAACCACATACATTTTTAGGGCCAACCAGCTATCTCAGCGGATTAAAGCACCTGCTTAGGCAGATGCAGGGACCAGGGTTCAAAACTGGGGATTGATCCCTGGCAGGCCACCCTGCCCCTAGGGCCCACTCAGACTGGCAGTGCGCATATAATCTTAGCGCTTGGGAGGGTGAAAAACAGGAGGATCACTACAAGTCCAATCTGTGTAGTGAGACCCTGTAGACCCTGTACTAAATAAATTTAAATATATATACAGATAGACAGATTTCTTTTAAGAAGTCTTCAGCAAGATTCTACCAATTATCTCATATACAAAGCACCTAACACCACAGCAGCTATAGGATTTTCTAAGATATGTAGAAAACTGAATGCTTTCAGGAAAGTTTCAGCTGTATCATGAATTTAACAGAAAAGAAACAACACACAAACAAACTCAGATGAATCACATGGAGAGCCTAATATAGACATAAGAACAGACAGTAAATCAAAGACAAACTATAATTCAGTTATTGCACAGGAAGTACGCTGCAGAATAAATTACTGACAGGGACACAGATCTATACATTGTGTCTCCACTGAAACCCTAAACCTGTTACTGGTTGTCAATAATTATTTTCAAAAAATATATTCCTGTCTCAGTTTCCTCACCTTCAAAATGAAAGCAACAATTTTTTTTTTTTTTTTTTTTTTTTTTCGGAACTGGGGATTAAACTCAGGCCCTTGCGCTTGCTAGGGAAGCGCTTATTCCACCGAGCCATCTCCCCAGCCCCTGAAAGGAACAATAATTAACTC